CACACACACACACACACACACACACACACACACACATGCCACACAGCCCCTCCGCTGCTCGCCCCTCTGCGTTAGAGGGGAAAAAAGGACGAAACTTCCACACCTTGTTGTTTCGTGTCATTTTTAGTATTCCCTTGTTAATAAATCTGTTTGGTGATTAATCTTGTGGTCACTCAAATTCTGTGCGTGGATCCGTTTCTGGTTTACCGGCGCAGCTTTTACAGTAGGTAGGTGATCAAATGTCAAAGGAAACCCACAGACCAATTACCTACGAGTTTCGCTATACCACGTGATACCGCCAAGCAAAGCGAGGACGAATGAGAGCTTGAGAAAAATTACCCAGAGAAATTCAAAAATTGAAAGCACCTCAAATGGACAAATGCTGCGCATTTACAGATGCAGTTGATCTCCAAGCAGATTTGGCCCTGAAGGAGCAGTTTGTCAGGACTGATCTGGCTCCAGATGGTTCCTGATTCTGCTTTCCCAGGTCTGAAGCAAGTAGCCTTGCAGATCTTGACAATGTTTGGCTCCACTCACAACTGTGAAGCAGCTTTCTCCACAGTGAACATAATAAAAAACAAAAACCGTTCCAGGCTGACCARTGAGCACCTCCACACATGCATGAGAATGGCTCTGACTCCATTCAAGCCCAGGTTTAAAATTCTGGCAGGACGAGCAAGAGCTCACTTCTCTCACTGAGCACAAAATAAATAAGGGATTGCATAAAAATGTTCTATTATTAAATGTGTTCAGATTTAAATTCTTAAAATATTTTTGAGACAGTTCAGTCCAGGTGTTAAACACAAAAATGTAAATCAACCTTTTCCTCCATTTTTTTATGACTGGTTAGTCACTTGTGAACATTTACAGTTGTCCTTTTGCCCAAGTTCTTATTTTGACACTTTATCCTACATTTGCTCAGTAAATGAGAACACCAGAAATCAGACGTACATGTTCAACTTTGTGTTTCGTGACAATAAATATTGTAAGTTTTTGAATAAGAGTGAATTCATTTCAATGYWTGCARATGTTGATACAACAATAGCTACACACAAAYGCACACACATATATCAGTTTGACATTTTGATCTTCTGGACCTTGGTCTCATAAAATGTTCTCTGACTGGACCTCTTTAAATTTTAATTGAATACCCCTGCTTTAGACCATCTTTAAGATGATAAAGTCTGACAGATATAAAGAGCTAAACTCTGGTTTAATAATGACGTTTGGATTAAGTTGTGTTATTGATGACACCTGTTCTGTTTTCCAGGGTTGACCTGGGAGGAGTGCATTGCTCAGTGTCCTCAGGGAGTGGTCCCGGCCTGCCACAATGCTGAAGACACAGTCACTGTCTCAGGTCCTCAGGTTAGACACAAACAACTTTCTGACTGTGGTTTCTGCTGGTGCAGCTCTTCTAGTGCCCTTCAGCTCTGACGAGGCTTCCATGAGCTCTGTACCATAGTTTAAACACATTTTCAAATCCTTTTAGTTTTCTGCTTGGCATTTCTGTCATATCACTAAATATCAACAACCTGGGTGTTCTGGCATTTAAACCCACGTGTCAGAGGAAACTGGAGAATGGTGTCTCTGAAAGGACAGTGAGAGCATTATTATCAGATGCCATCAGAGATGTGACAGCACTGCAGCTGGTGAAGAATCGTCACTGAATCTAATCTAAAAACAGACAGTCTGATAACGGTGGACCTGTTTGACAGCTCTGCACTTTTCAGTTTCTGTGCTTGTTCTTATTTTGCTGACAGTGTCTTTTTAATCCCGTAGAGAGAAATTCAAGCTGGAAAGTGACGGGATTAATAGGAGTGAATGAAAGCTGTGCTGGCATATGAAAGAGTTACACAAACTCATCCATTAAGCAACATGGTGTTGCTTACAAAAGGTGTTGCAACTGAATTTAGACTCTGTTGAAACACAAAGTGTGTTCACTGTGAGAACTGTGTGAAACAAAACCATCCGAAGCAAAAATCCACATCTAAGTATTTTATTGTGAAATCTGAAGTTTGAGTTGCTTTTCTTCTGGCTTTATTAAGATTATGGGTCAATGAGCCACTTGAGTTTGACAGAATAGAGTTTAATTCTGACCAGTTAATGAGCTGATGGCTAATCTGACTAAAGTAGCTTACTGTCATCTTCAAACTACAAAGATTAGTGGGAATGCTATTTTCTATACCATTAAAATTTTCATCAGATTTATATTAAACGACAACTATTCCTGCAAAAACTGTTGGATGCTCATTTAAGAAGTTAACCCAGGCTGCAAAAGAAGTGCTACAGATAGCTGCCACCGTAAATAACCACAGAATTATACTAATAACTGTCAAGTAAAACCATCAACCATGTAAAAGACTATAAAACACATAAACCCCTTCAAAAATGTTTAGATATGGTGTTTCTATCAGACAGCAATTTGTTTTGATTTAAGCTCCAAGTTTCCTAAAGACTGAGTTTATTTAATTAACCTTTATGAGCTACTGTTTAAGTACACATAAGCTGCAGCAGGTCTTAATGTGCTAAAAGAATAGGATAAAATGTGATTTTTGCAATAGTTGGTTGTATTTTAGCAATATATTTGAATATAAAACAAAAAAACGTAAAAAGGATTATAAATAAAGCACTTAGCATGTAGTTCACACACAGACCATAATTTGAACATTGTCCTGTTTAATAATAGTCATTCAGTTATTTTGAACTTAAGTCAAGCTTAACCCTGTTTCTACATTTACATACTACCCACCTCTGTCAGTGTGCTCCAGGGCAGCTGTGGCTACATTGTAGCTTACTGCCATCAGTGTGAATGTGTGTGTGAATGACTAATGCACAGCACTTTGAGTCATTGGACTTGATAGAGCACTATATAAGTTCAGACCACTTACCTCAACAACATAAAAGATGTCCCAAGGTTTTTAAAATGCACCAGAACAATGTCCGTCTGTACAGGTGGGATACAAACTGCACTCTTGTTTTTATTTCACTGATGTGTTTAGGAGGCAGTCAGTGCGTTTGTGTTGGAGCTGAAAGAACAAGGAGTGTTTGCGAAGGAGGTTCGTAGTGCCGGTGTAGCCTTTCACTCCTACTACATGGCCTCCATCGCTCCCAACTTGCTGTCTGCTCTAAAGAAGGTAGGGTGCATTCCAGCAGTGAAGCTGTTGGTTGTATTTTGTGGTGACAGACCGTGGGATCTGTTGTGTTGGTGGTATATGTCTGGTGTTAAAGGTTGATGTATGTTGTAATGTGCAGGTGATCAAAGAACCTCGGCAGCGGTCGTCTCGCTGGGTGAGCACCAGCATACCTCAGTCTGAGTGGGACAGTCCTCTGGCTATGTACAGTTCAGCTGACTACCACGTCAACAACCTGCTGAGCCCGGTTCTGTTTCAAGAGGCCCTCAATCTGGTACCTGAGAACGCTGTGGTGGTGGAGATAGCACCTCATGCTCTGCTGCAGGTATTTTTATCATAAAGTTTGTTGAAGGACCATCAGATATCTGGAGTCTGTTTCTGTGTTCCAGCTGGGAACTACTTGAGTAGTGCATGTTGAACTTTGACTTTATTAAACGTAATGTAATATTTACACATTCAAAGTAGTGGGTAGAAGTATAAACTTATTTTTTACACCCACCCCTCTAACATCTATAGAATCATCCATAATTACAATTCATAATAACTTGGTTATAACTAGGCCTGTCACGATAACAAATTTTGCTGGGCGATTAATTGTCTCAAAATTTATTGCGATAAACGATAATATTGCCTGGTGAC